ACTCAAGGCTGAATCATTGGCAGAAGCATTGTCTACTGTTACCATGAACACCTTCTCAAGCCCCCATCCATGCATACAATGCTCAATCAACCTCCCAATGGTTTCCCCTTTTCCATTTGGCATAGTACAAAAGTTGATAATTCTCTTTTGCAGCTTCCAATCAGAATCAATGTAGTGGGCAGTTAGACACATATAGTGTATGTTTTGCAAAGAAGTCCAACCATCAGTTGTAAAGGATACTCTCTTACAATCATTGCGTAAAGCAGCTTTCAATTTAGCCTTTTCCTCACTAAACAATTGCAAAACATCTCTAGCAACTGTCGTTCTTGAAGGAGGAATAAATTTGGGCTGCATTACTTGGCAAAAGTGTCTAAACCCCTCCCCTTCTACACTCCTAAATGGCAGCTCATCCATGATCACCATCTTAGCTAAAGCTTTCCTACAAGCTTCTTTACTATACCCTATTGCCAACAAACCACTCCCACTTTCACTAGTTAGAGGAAAACTCAACAATTTCTGCTTCTTATCTTCAACTCTAAATGGATTTTTTTGCATTGCTTTCTTAAATGAACCAACATGCTACTTGTCCCATGCGTTCTAGAACTACAAGCATAGTCCTTCCCACAATAATTACACACTGATCTTTCATCACCTGAATTAGCCCCTTTTTTAATAGTAAAATGATCCCAAACCTCAGATTTCCTAACAGGCTTTCTCTTACCATTTGTCTCCTCATTTTCTAAATCAATCACATTTTTGTTTGGTGATCTATGGGCTAGTGTTTTGGAAAAAACTTCAGGGTCAGCCGATTGGGTTTTAGGAGTAACGGATGGGGAAGGTGATGATCTAGATCCAGAAGTTTGGGTGTTGTTACTTGATGATGATAAGAACTTGTCCATCCTAAATAGAAAAATAGACAATGCTTAAAACATTGATTAATATGCTAAACAGATAATGCTTAAAACAGACATTTAGTAAACAACGGCAAGGAAAATGCAATTTTTTGGAAAACTTTGGATACATACATTAACTGTAGAAATGACTACCATTTTTTATAAGCCTTATTCAAGTAATGGAAAAACTTTCTGTCTCTCTTCTTACATTGTAACAATTTGCAGGAGAAAAAAAAATACTCAATCGAAATCTAACCTATGCAGCATAATCTACATAAAACAATTCAATTCCTTGTCATTTCTGTCTCTCTTCTTACATAGGCTATGCTCGTAGCTTCTGCCAATCAAATGTACATAATCTACATAAAACAATTCAATTCCTTGTAAATATTAGTGTTAACCGTTAAGTTTTAAAATCCATTAACTAGTATTCTCCTAACCAATTCCTTTCTTTCACTTTTTTATTTTTTTTCCTAATCAAACAAGGGCTTTAGCTCACATACCGAACTCAAAAAAAAAAAATCTCTGTGAACTAACTACTCGACAAAGGAAAACTCTCACAAATTTCCTCTTGTTTTAGCCACAATCAAAATCTTGTTCTCTCTCTCTAGTCAAGGAGCGTAGAAGCAATGACGAGCTGCAGGATGCTCGTAAGGAGACAATCAATGTACGAACTAATTCTCCCCTTGTTTCGTTTTGATTTCTCTGTGAACTAACTACTCGACAAAGGAAAACTCTCACAAGAGGGAGAGGACTGAGGAGAAATCAAATTTCCAATCCAAACAAACACTAAAAAAAAAAACAGAGATGCGAAAGAAGTGAGAGAGAGAGAGAAAGAGAGAGAGGTTTCGTTAGTTACCTCCGGCTCCGACAGTCCGACTCCGAGACAAAGGCCTGAGGGGAGTTGTGGGACTGAATGCCTGATGGGAGAGGGGCGGCGCCGGCCGAGACACGAGGGAACACAGGGCTGCCGAGAGAGGGAAGAGACGAGAAAGACTCAGAGAAATGAGATGCGGTCTGAGTCTCACTCCGTTTGCTTGCCTTTTGCCTGCCCTAGCCTAATCTAATGCAATAGTGAATGGGCCGAACTACCGAAGGCCTGCTGGGCTGAGGGCCTGAGGCCTGAGTGAGAAGAAGAATTAGAATTTTAGAAATGTTGGGCGGCTTGAGTGAGAGTGAGGCAGTGAGCGTGGGCTGGAAGTAAAATTAATGGGCCAAATTAATCCTGGGCCTATTTTGTGCGGGTTGGGTTGGGAGCTGCGGGTTACTATGGGCCCAACCCACAATCCGCCCCAAACACTCGGGTTGGAGGTATAATAGCCCGAAAAATAAAAAATAATGTTGCGGGTTGCTTTTTTCGGGGTGGATTGGGGCGGTGCGGGGTGGGTTTGCGGGTTGTGCGGGTTTATGAACACCCCTAGGTGCCGAGATGGTCCACATCCCCGCAAACTTATATTCTCCACGAAGTTATTATTCTTCCCATTGCTAGCTCCCAACACTGAGTTCTCTGCTGAAGCAAGACCTCTAGTGTTTAGTCTTTTGTCTATATAAAGGAGTTTGCCGATAACTTCTACAAAATTCAAAATCTCTTCCCCATATATCGAAATAAGTTTCATGCACTTGCAAAAAGGTTGAAGAGACATGAGACGTTTAGTTTATAGATTCAGAATTATGCTTCAGAATTATTTTTGATTTACGTGTTTTTTGTGAGAAAAAATATTTTAACGAGCTACAAATTATTATCCGAACTATAGCACAGATCCTTACTCCAAACGCACGCTGAATGCCTCATGCTCATTATTAATAACAACCCCAATCAACTTTAGTTAAAGTGATGCCATATTGAGAGTTTTGTACCTTCATCCATAAGCAACATGTGGAGCTGTTCTTTTATCCATAAGCAACTCTTCACTCTTTCCCCGTAATTCCTTGACTGTAGAGATTCCACGCACATTTGCGAGAACATTCTAGACAAAACGCAAATGTATCTTACTTGTAGCTCTCTAATCCAGATATCATCTCAATATTCACCATGTGCATGAAACTCGCCAGGTTCTTTTCAGGAATTAGGGCTTGGTCTCCCCTTTAAATTTTTATTTGATCATTCCATCAAATTTCTCCACATTATTGGCCTATTTGTTTCCCTGGTTCGGCTCAGTTCAATTTGAGCTGTGAATCAAGTTTAAAATTGTGTTTGATAAGCATGCAATTATATTTTCCGTTCAAATTGAGTTAAATTGTCCAAGTTAGAGTTTAACTCCCCGCTTCATTTCAATAGTTCAAACTATTTTTGAGCAGTAAAACATCTCAATTCTCTCTACTTTTTATACCTGCCAAACACAAATTTGGTTTTATTTCCTATTTAGATTTAAACTTTAACTGCACATCTAAACGTCAATTCCACCTACAATTTGAATTTTTTTGTTCAAATAAAAAAGTTCAAATCAACACAATTCAAACCAACGAACCAAACAAGGCATATATTGTTTAAAAACTTTGATATTTCTACTCCGCACTCCTAGCTTGGTGGACAATAGACGTGTAATAATTATGAATGATAATTACTTAGACAATTTCCAAAAAAGACTAGAAGGGTCACAATGGTCCTTCTCAAACGTACTCTCCTCAAATAAAGCTTACTTTAAACATAGGATTTAGTTCTTTTATTTAATTTTTAGTATCTCAATTAATATCTAGCTAATGAAATCATATCATATAATCCAATAATAAGTACAAAACAGTTAGCTAAAAAGCAATTTAAATTTTTTATATGGCATGACATAATAATTAATCAAATACCAATTAAGACATCAAAATTAGAGAGACCTTAAACATATCCATACAACTACATAATGAACCTCGATTAAATGACCCTTGTTTAGATCTTTGGATATCACTTGTAGATCCTCTAAGTCTCATCATAAAAGGTTAACGAGGACTCATTATAGAATAGAAATCAGTATACTTAAGTAACCTCTTTTTTTAGAATATAATTTTTTCCCCTTTCATTACAGAATAAAAATCAATATAATTAAGTAACCCCTTTTTTTAGAATAGAATTTTTTTTGAAAGGGAAAATATTTCATTTCACAAGAAATGACTTACATAAGACACAAATAGTCCTAAATACAACAGAGATTCATCCCGACCCTTTGACTAGATCCACCAGTAAAAATACCATAGCACAAGGGGCAAAAATAAGTGCCGAAACGTTACGGAGAAAGGGCCCGTTTGGCATAGACGCGAGCATGACTAAAGATCGTTTGAGACCACAAACAGTCGACGGAATAACCCAGTTGACCGGGATCAAACCCCCCGTATAGGGGACATCTACATAGCCTAAAAAAAGTTCTAAGCAGATAAAATAACCCACTCCGTCGGTGATCAAATCGATCAGGTGAGAGACATAACCAACACTATGAGGTGTTGAAACCACCACCTCCATTATTCCAAGCACAATAAAAATGAAAACAAACACTAAAACAAGAGGAAACCTCCGAGCATCTCCATCATGAACTTCTGATGAGGGACTCGCTGATGGAGGAGCCGTTGGGGGCTTTGGAAGACCCATAGCGAAGCCGAAAACCAGCCTTCAAGCAACAACAAAACACCTTCATCCACCTTCACCACCATCACCGGAATCCAACCCCACCACCACCCAAAAAAGGCCACCATCAAGCGGAGCAAATTCCCAGAGGAGTTCGACCGCCAAACAAAAGGCACGCCTGAAAATGTAGTCCAAAGATTTGGCACCCAACCACCAATTCGAGTCAGATCCACCTAAATGGAATCATTACACCACACACTACCACCACCAACACGAAGTCCACCTCGAGACGAGCTGGAAGACCGAGCTGGAAGAACGAGTTTCTTGACTAGGTCTCTAGCAACACGCCCAGAGATGGTGCTGAAGCTCCTGCCATCTGTTGCGCTCCAATAGAGAACTCTCTCTCTAACTTCAAGTCTTTATGTTTCTACTATTTACGAAACCACTATAATAATAATTTTTTTTAATACACAAGCATACGCAAAAAAATTTGTCCCCTTTATAAGTGACTAGAAGCCCTCCAAAAATTCTAAAAAAAAAAAAAAAAAAAAAAAAAAAAAAAAAAGCCCTCCAAAAACCCTAGACCTCTTCGTCAAAATAAAAATAAAAAACCTAGACCATCATGAAATTCAAATAGTCAAAATTCCTCAACTGGGGTCTCAGTCTCGGCAACCAAGCAATCGTCTTTTCCACAAGGAAGACGACAATGCCGGCAAACGACGACATTAGCTTCACTTCCCTCAAACTCCCTTTTCCGTCACCGCCACCGCCATTTGACCTTTCTCCTTTGTTCACCAGAACCCGAAACTCGTTCGCTCAACTCTTCGACTCGGTCAAGACTCGCTCGGGAATCGAACGACTCGCCCCCAAGTTCCTTCCTTTACCTTCCAGACCGCTATTTCGGAATCGCTTCACCGCCGGCGGATTAGCGAGTCGGTGCCCTAAGTTACCTCCTTTATGTTGGGCGTCGCTGTCCTTGACTCGGTCCGATTCGGAATCTCGGAAGGAAGACAAGGAACTTCCGATTGGAAAATCGTCCCTTCTCTGTTCGGCCTCGTTGTCTCTGACTCGGCCGGACGATTCGACTCAGTCAGGACTGGAAAGAAGGGAGATGACGGCGTCGGCGGCGGCGCCGCAGCAGCAGAAGGGGCACTCGGCGAGTCGACACGACGAGGAGAGGGTTCTGATCAGCGAGGTGTTGGTGAGGAACAAGGACGGGGATGAGCTCGAGAGAAAGGACCTGGAAATGGAGGCTTTGGCGGCGCTCAAGGCGTGCCGACCCAATTCGGCATTGACTGTGCGCGAAGTTCAAGAGGACGTGCATCGGGTCATCGGCAGTGGCTACTTCTGCTCTTGCATGCCCGTCGCCGTCGATACGAGGGACGGTATCAGATTGGTGTTTCAGGTAAAGATACAACTTTGCTCTTCCCTTTTGCCATTTCAGTCTCCAATTCAAAGACAGGAGAATAATACAATCCAGGAATTTATTTGTTTATTGTATTTTGTGGTGCAAGGTAGAACCAAACCAGGAATTTCAAGGGCTGGTTTGTGAAGGAGCAAATGTTCTTCCTGCTAAGTTTTTAGAGGATTCATTTCGAGATGGATGTGGTAGGTTCTTTTTGGTCTTCTTATGTGTATGTGTTATACAAGTATTTATGCAAGATTCTCTTTTTGGGGGTTTCTACTTTTAAAAATGTGCTCATAGGAGGCCTGTTTGTTTCTCTTATTTTGGTGTCAAGTTGTGCAGGAAAAGTGATTAACCTTAGGCGTTTGGACAAAGCGATAACGTCCATCAATGATTGGTATATGGAGAGGGGCCTTTTTGCTATGGTTGGTTCCTTAGCTTAAACTTGTTTTTCCTATTTTCGTTTAATGTGCCTTTTTTTTTAATATTACATTGATCGATATGTAATATAATGTGTAACAGTAAGTTAGTAACATAAGGATTTTTCTTGACAAATTTGTAGGTATCGGCTGTTGAAATTCTATCCGGGGGTATTCTTAGATTACAAGTTTCAGAAGCTGAGGTTAACAACATCTCCATACGTTTCCTTGACAGGAAAAGGTAAGAACATGCCATCAATTTGGTTTGCATTTATATTGCAAGAATTGCGGACCGACATCCATCATGAGAATTTGTGGGTTCTGAAAATGGTAGGATCTATTGTTAAATATGCTTTACTTTCATTATTTATCTTCAGTGGCGAGCCAACTTCAGGGAAGACACAGCCTGAAACAATACTTCGTCAGCTAACGACCAAGAAAGGACAGGTGTTTTCCTAACCTATACTTCTAGTAACCTAACAACTGGTCTGTTTGGTTCGTAGGTTTGAACAAAAGTTTAAATTTTGTGAGAGAAAACACTGTAGCAAAAAGGTTTGAACAGTAGTTTGAACCTATGAAACAAACGAAGACAATATTATTCCTTGAAACTGTTTGTGAAACTAAGATTGTGTGTACTTACTTTGGAGGGGAACCTGGCAGAGTTTAGTGATTATGAACTTTGGTAAAAGAGGGAGGCCATATTCTAGGATTTCTAACTTGTCTACTTTTGCATCGGAAATTATCTTTGTGTAGGTCTACAGTATGCTTCAAGGGAAAAGAGATGTGGAAACTGTATTGACCATGGGAATAATGGAAGATGTTAGCATTATTCCCCAACCTGCAGGTGATGAATTGATGCTGGTCTTTTCAGTGACCTCTTTCTATGCATCACTTTGGCAATAAGTCCTGAATAATGCTCTTGATCTGAAGACTGAAAGGATTTTTGTGCAGCTCTACGACATCATTATATCTAGCTGATTTAGTACATAATCACGAGCTGATTTAGCCTAAAAATTTAGGCAGACAATTAGCTTTACTTGGGCGAATGACTTAGAAATGCAATTTATGCATATTACTTTTAGGTATCAATGTTTGAATGGTCGTGTTCTTCCTTGCATGCGTGCTTGAATAATTTCATTTTTCTACTCACATGTTGCAGATACTGGAAAGGTTGATATGGTAATGAACGTTGTTGAGCGTCCAAGTGGTGGTTTTTCTGCTGGTGGTGGTATATCAAGTGGGTAAGTAGTTTTTATTTTTAAATTTTTTTTTTATTTGTGGAACTAGTATTTGATTAATTTAGTCATCTAATCATTAGTTTAGCATGTCTCATTTCTTTTGCTGTGATATTGATTTGGATCATTTAAATTTGTAGGATTACGAGTGGCCCTCTATCAGGACTCATTGGAAGGTAAGCTGACAGACCTCTTGACTTCATTATTGAAATCATTTTCAATCTTATACAATGTATTATGCTGTATTGAGCTCATTTTCATTTTTTTCCTATTGCAGTTTTGCATATTCTCATAGAAATCTTTTTGGAAGAAACCAGAAACTTCATGTTTCCTTAGAAAGGGGCCAAATTGACTCAATATTTCGTATAAACTGCACAGACCCATGGATTGCAGGAGATGATAAGCGGACTTCCAGAACAATAATGGTTCAGGTAATTTTTTTCCCCTCTAACTATGAATGGCCTTTTTTTTTTTGGGTGAGATTTAAGTTCCTTTTTTTTTTGTTAGAATTCGAGAACGCCTGGCACGCTTGTTCATGGTAAGGTGCAAGATGAGGACATCAGCCCAACCATAGGTCGTGTCACAGCTGGTGTCGAGTTCAGCCAACCGCTCAGACCCAAGTGGAGTGGTACAGCCGGACTTATCTTTCAGGTACACAGTTAACCTTGCATTCAGATGATACTAGACTAGATTTTCAATTTTTCTATTTGCATTTTGAAGTTAACTGTGAAGGATTTTTTTTCTTATAAGAAACAAGTTGTATATTTGCTGGTACGTTTCAATATTTTCTATCATCCTATATTGGTTTCTATTTTACAGCATGCTGGTGCTCGTAATGAAAAAGGAGAGCCTATTATCAAGGATTGTTTTGGCAGTCCTCTTACTGCAAGGTATGAGCATCTGAAAGCAGATATTATCACAGAAACGTTATGGGTTTCGGGTTTGAACTGCCTTTCTTTATTGGTCATGTCTACATGGTTGCATGTTATTTGTTTTCAGTGGCAAGACCCATGACGATACACTGCTTGCCAAGTTGGAGACTGTCTACACTGGTTCTGGTGATCATGGATCTTCAATGGTTAGTAGCTGGAACTCCTTTTACATGCATGTTTTTCACTCGCTCTGACCCTCATTTATGTTGTCTTTGCAGTTTGTATTCAATGTGGAACAAGGACTTCCTGTATTGCCAGAATGGTTGTTTTTTAACAGAGTCAATGCTCGTGCAAGGAAGGATATTGAAATTGGTCCTGCTCGCATTCTTTTTAGGTACTTTACCTTTTATGCATCTTAAAAGTATGTTGAATGTGTATGTTAGCCATGGGATCAATATCTCATATTTGCTTGCCTCTTTTATTTTGGCTATTGCTTTGATAGTCAATCAAATGGCGATCTTGCTTATTTGTAATGACGTGTTATTATCTGCATTCCTAGTTTATCTGGCGGTCATGTGGTGGGTAATTTTTCACCACATGAAGCATTTACCATTGGTGGAACAAATAGTGTCAGAGGATATGAAGAAGGCGCTGTAGGTTCTGGTCGATCATATGCAGTTGGCTCTGGAGAAATCTCTTTTCCCATGGTATGTCTTGAAACAATTTTTCCCGTCTTTTAAGCAAATATGGTCTCTGCTTTTACATATCCGGTTTAGATCATGCCATCATAGTATAAATTATTCAGTTGATTGAGAGTTGGGACTTAAACTTCCCATCCTAAGGTCTTGGTAGCCCCTATATCGACTGAATACTCCCACCTCAATGTAGTGTGGGAAGGTTTAGTTTACAAGATGGTTAATCCACTCCTCAATTCTTTTAACGTATCCTGTTCTGCAGGTGGGGCCTGTTGGAGGAGTTATTTTTGCTGACTATGGAACAGATCTTGGATCCGGCCCAACGGTGCCTGGTAGGTCCTAGTTTAGCTTTAGTGTTTATTTTTTATTTTTTATTTTTTATTTTTATTTTTATTTTCTCTCTGTGGTGCTTGTATTTCTTGTTCTCTTTGCTGCTGATGGCGGTGGCTTTAGTGTTTATTTTTTATTTTTTATTTTTTATTTTTATTTTTATTTTTTCTCTGTGGTGCTTGTATTTCTTGTTCTCTTTGCTGCTGATGGCGGTGCTCTTTCTTTCTTTTTCCTTTTCGGGACTAGGGTAGGAGGGGGCAACATTTTCATTGCATAATTGGTCCTTTCTTTTAAGTGCTGCATGGTGCAACATTCTTAAAAACGTGTTCATATTTTACTTTCACTAGGTGATCCCGCTGGGGCTAGGCTAAAGCCTGGAAGTGGATATGGATATGGGGTCGGCATCCGGTTGGACTCGCCTTTGGGTCCTCTTCGTCTTGAATATGCATTTAGTGATAGCCAGAATAAGCGGTTTCACTTCGGAGTTGGTCATCGGAACTAATCCCCTTTTTGTATCTTCTTGGTTTTTTCTTAATTGGTAATTCATTTGTTTGTTTTTAGTTGTTATTTTGTTTTTGTTTTTGTTCGTGGAATAGAGGCCTGTTGCTATTAAACCGTTTTTTTTCTTTTTTTTTTTCCGTATAGAAGAAATGAGGTTAATAAATCAATCAAAATTCATTTTCTTAGATTTCTCCGCCTTACAAATTTGCTCTCATTTGTTACTGATTCTGTCATATGAGCATGAGTTCATACTCTTTCTTCGCGTGAAAATTTTTGTAATGTAAAGGGAAAAGACCAAGTTGCCTTTCAACTGTTAAAACGGCTGTCGAGTGCAAATGAAAGTCCAATAAAAATGTCGGTGCTTCTTTACTTTTTTGCCCTTGACATGGCAATATCTTGAGACATTATTAATTCGGGAAAATCCAGATGACTTGAAAAGAATTCCGGAGGAGTAATATTGGTCTTAGGCCAATTCTTTGTCCCTTTGTCTCTTGTTCGAGCTACTAGTCCTACTGTTGATATTTGTCGTTGAAGAGGATAAAACACATTCTATCAAAAAACAAAAAAAAACAAAAAACAAAACAAAACAAAACTATTATTCATTACTAGTATGAATCATGTAAACTGCCAAGGAATTGACCGAAATGACAAGAGACATCTATTTAAGAGCTAAAACCTGGAAGGACTAATGGACAATGCTATTGCTCCGATCATTTGGTGGGGTGGCAAAGGTTGCTCTTCTTCTATAATTTTTGAGTTCGAACACAATGGTCGGTGTACACGACAATTCATTACGCGAGATTCATAAATTACAGGGAGAAATAGAAAAATAGGTTAAGATTTGAGATGAATTAAAATTAATAGGTCAATAATTTACATAAGTTAATAAATAGGTCACATTACTATTTTCGTCAATAACTTATCTGGTTATGAACCATAACTTGACAAGTTATTGTCCATAATTTATCTGGCTATGAACCATAACTTGATAAGTTTGTCCATAACTTATCTGATTATGAACCATAACTTTATAAGTTATGGCCTATTAATTTCTATAACTAAAAATTGACCTATATAATTTCTTAAGCTTTTTATATTGGCATATTTTTTACTATTTTCTTAAATTTAAATTATACGAGGATGTTTTCTCATATATATATATATATATATATATATATTGAGAATATGTTTTCTCATATTACAATAAAATGAGGAAAAACGTTTATGTAAATCTGACGTATAAAACTGACGAATGAAAGTAGAATCTTAACACTAGAGTATTTTTCATACCCTACCCAATAATTCATAGTATTTAGAGGTAAGGATAATCCTAAAGAAATAAACAAACTAATGGACAGTTATATTGATCACCTCTTATTTGGTCCGACTAGTAAGTGCTCATTCTCCACATTCCTATTGGTTTTGGGTTTGAATTAGTCCCACCGCCATAGTTGAGGTATATGGACATGTAGAGATGTCTTTCTTCCTAAAGTTATTTGGGTACACCACTCCCTACCTTTATTTATTTTTTTGTCTTTTTTTTTTAAGGAATAATATTACCGCTTCTAATTATGATCTATTTTCGGATCTTGACTTGAATAATATTCTTTTGAAAAATCTTGTTCTAAAATGGAAGTTCAACAAAAAGGTTTCTTTTTTTTTTTTTAATATGAGAAAGTAAAGCTGAAAAGCTTAGGTTTATTTTGAATGTAAAAAAAAAAAAGAATAAATAACTTATAAGCTATGAAAAAAATTACATCACTAATATGTGCTTATTAAAACAGTTTTTCTTTCGTTCGCCATATTAAAAAAATGTCTTTTCATCCTTCAAAAAAAAGGGCAAAAAATTATGTCTTTTCAAATGTTTCTCTCTTAAAGTATTTTTTTTCTCAGTATTCTAAATATTATAATATTAGAATGATACTCATAAATATATTTTTTCATTTTTTTCTGTTACAGCAGTAAAAGATATATATTTTAAATTTTTTTCCTCGCTGGCGAAGCCTAACTATACTACTAGCTTCCTCAAGTACATTTTTTCTTTAATTTATTCCAGTTTTTTTACTTTATTTATATATATATATATATATATATATATTTTTTTTTTTTCGGATCAACCACGTGAAAATACCTATTTTGACTAAATTAGGAACATTATCCATAGGAAATTATGGCTCTATTGCTCTTAGGTTCAGTGGTCGCTCCTTACACTTATGATTTACTGTTCACTTAATCAAGTAGTAGAGATTCATTTTCTTATTCGAATTATGATTCATAATTTATTACAGTATTTTTTTTCACAAAAAATACATGTAAATAAAAAATAATTCTAATCCATAAACTAAATGCACCAGTATAATACGATCAGCTAGCTATTATGATACTGATACTGATACACAAACAATAAATTAAGAAAAAAAAGAAAAGAAAAGAAAAAGACAAGAAAAATCCAAGAAAAGAAGTGCAAGACATTCAAAGTTTCAGTTTAGGCAGCATATTGAAGAGGGCCGTTTGCTTTTATCAATAACCCTTTTCAGAGAAATCAGGAATTATTGGCATGAAAGCAGTAGTACTACTGACAGTTATGGTTGGCAATATTTCGTTGATGCGCCTTATAAAGTGTTTTGTTTGTGTTATAAATAATAGCGGTCTATTTTAATTAAAATTATTATTAAGTCAATTAAAATTATTATTTATATTAAAATTTTATTATATAAATAATAATTATAAATAGTAAGTATTGTATAAATAATAATCGTAAATAGTGTTAAATATTTTTTTTATAAATAGAGTTCTAAGGTTTTTTATTTTGTATACGTTCATAAGATTAATAAAACTCTCACTCTCTAGTTTCTCTTTAAAATTTTCTTCTTAGCTTTGTATTTTCTTAGTTTTCATAACACGTTATCAACACGAACGTTCTATTCCTACTGCGATTGTCTAAATTCATTAATTCAAAGAAAGTAGGCTATGATCCAATTACAAGCATCCACCTTAAAGTCAAAAGAAAGTAAGTCATAATCCTAGTCCTACTACAAGTTTCTACCCTTATTAATTTAAGTGAAAGGTATGTAAATATACTCTATCATTTTATATTCATAATGCCACCAACGTATTATAATTTTTATAATTTTATCATTATACGCCATTCGAAAGGTTTACCGAGTAGTTTGGTGTGTTTATATTTTCATAAATAGACGGCTATGCCGCTTACAGGTAATAATTTCTCATTGCACTTTATGCATACATATTACTATTCTCATATGTTTATTTTTCTACATCATTTGAGGTATACAATTGTAATTTTTTTTTCGCTTCTAACGGTAATACAACAGATTTTTACACCACTATTAACGGTTATATAAAGGCTATAAACGGCTAGTTTTTGTACTCCATAAAATGTGGTTTTTCTTAACCCATACAATTCACTTCTCATCCCCCTTCTTAATATTTTTATCTTTCACTTCTCATCTTCTCTTCACTATTCTTAATATAATCTTCACAATATGACGAATATGATGATGATGTTTGTTATTTTAGTAGTCATTTTCTATATTTTTGCTCTTTTTATTGGAGATCATTCTCCACACAATTTTCATTTTTTTCTTGCAATACTCATACTTGTAATATTTTCCCTTTTATTTATTACTATTATGATTAACATGCAATTTTAATTGTAATCTCTATTGTAATAATAATATTGTGATTCTTACTATATCAATATTCTATTATAGTTATCACCATGTCAAATCTTACTAAACTTGAGCTCATTGCACTCGATATCACGGGAAAGAATTATGGTTGTGTTTAGAGTTGTTTTTATTTTTCACGTTTTTTGAGAAAGAAAAAATGAAAATGGGAGAGAAACGACGTTTGACACAATTAAAGATAAAAAACAGAAATGAAAATAATTTTTTAGTTTAGTGTAAAATGTGAGAGAAATGAAAAATGACTTTTAGTCATTTTTTATTTTTTATTTCTGTTTTTTTCTCGAGAAATGAAAAATGACTTTTAGTCATTTTTTATTTTTTATTTCCGTTTTTTTCTTTCTCGAGTAAAGAGAGAGAGAGAGAGAGACATTAATGAATTTTTTTATACTGAAAACAATCTCTTGATAAAACTACTAAATGCATTTTTAAAAATGATTTCTGTCTGAGATTGAAAACATTTTCATTTCCATTTTCATACAAAAAATAAAATCATTTTGGAACGAGTTCCAAACGCACCCTATGTCTTGGATCATAGATGTAGAAATGCATATAGAGTCAATGGGTCTAGCTAATACCATTAAAGAAAATAATAACAAGTCATCACAAGAAAATGGGAAAGCAATAATTTTCCTTTGTAAACATCTTGATGAAGGCTTGAAATTCAAATACCTCACAGTTAAAGATCCACTTGTCATTTGAAAAAGTCTGAAGGAGAAATACAACCATCAGAAAGAAGTCGTACTTCCCGCCACTTACGATGAGTGGAACAATTTATGTTTTCAAGATTTTAAGAAAGTCAACGACTACAACTCTCTTATGTTTAGAATTATTTCGCAATTGAAATTTTATGAAGTAAATATCATAGATGGTGAAATGCTAAAGAAAACCTACTCCGCTTTCCATGCATCTCACATTACCTTGCAACAACAATACTGTTTGCGCGGTTATAAGAAATTTTATGAGCTAATCTCAACTCTTCTTGTGGTAGAGAAAAATAATGAATTATTGATTAAAAATCGTCAGTCTTGTCCCACTAGTTCAGCATCATTTTCCAGAAGCAAATGTTACATTCTCTAAAACTCTGGGATGGGAGAAAAATTATAGTCGTGGACGTGATCGTGGTCGAAGACGTGGTCGAGGACGTGGTAGAAGTGGTTATTACAGCCCTTCACAAAATGTCGGGATCCAGAAGAAGCGTCATGACAAAATAAAAGATGTTGATGCAAGTTGTTCTCAGAATCCTGAAAATTCATGTTACAAATGCAGTACTAAAGGACATTGGTTTAGAATTTGTCGAACACCGGAACATCTTTGTAAACTTTACAAGGCATCCTTGAAGGAGAAAGAAAAAGAAGTAAATTTTAATGAACACCACGATTCTATAAATGACTTA